TGTGTCCACTCTCAAAGTCTGCAGCTTAGCCGATTCATGCATATTTACTTTTGAAATTTACCAGTCGAATAAATATCTAATGGGGTAGGTCAACTTGGAGGGGACACCTGGGTATTTTAATTCTTGGGGGCTTAACACGCCAAAAATTCTCAAAAGCATGTATGTTTGAATATCAAATCAAGCATGTATTGGGTAAACAGGTTTAATCAGAATGCATCCTATCCTATACCTTTTTTTTTTGAAATATTCACTGCCTGTAAAATCTATAGGGTTTGATATTAAGCAAAATCCCTGCACTTTCCTGTCTTGACTTCAAGCTACATACTCAATCAGTTCAAACACAAAGTGCTAGGGATAGCTATTGACCTCATTGCATTTGGCAAAATGATGTTAATGTCACAGATTACCTAATACAGATGCGAAAGTACGTATACTTGTCGTCGACGATATTCTGTGACGAAGCCGGGCCGCCAGCGCCCCAACGCATAGATAAAGATCGCCCGCGTCAGGACAATTAACGTGGCCAAGTGCGTGAGCATGTTCCAGCCTGTGTGTTTACATATTTTTGCGGGTAGAAAAAAATATTTTTGCTGTTTGTGAACCAATTAAAGAAATAATATTATATTATTGAGCTTCCGCATGTATATAATAAATATGTTCAAAATACATTGATGTGGCATTGGTGCGGCCAGCCTATGTCTATCAAATTAATCTTGAACCACGAATTCGCAGCTCTTTCGCATCCGTATGTAAGTAATCTGTGTTAATGTCTAAGTTTGCAATTTTCTGTGTATGACATTGATACCCGAGTTGATACCTTACTAAATGACAACCCTGTATATTTCTTAACTGCCTCGTTAACTCCCAATTAACAAAAACCTTAGAAATAAAGTGAAGGAAAAACAAACATTATCATCAAGTATGTCAAAGGCATTCCAACGATACTTGAAAATCCCTCAAAAAACTAAACAACAGCCAAGTAATTGAGATCTCCTTTTGGTACAGCAATCTTAGCTCAATCGTAAACAAAATAGACGAGTGGAAAGCTAGAGTATCTGCAACAAGCCCAACTATTATTATGTTGTCAGAGACCTGGCTTAGTACAGATATAGATACTGCAATTCTAAGCCTAGATGGTTACAACATCTACCGTAAAGATCGACAAAATCAAAGAGGAGGAGGGGTTTGTATTTGTATAAAGAGCCAGGTCGATGGACACAGCCTGATCTGTAGTACTTCTCAAGATTTTAATACGACCAATCCTGTTGATGGGCTTGGGCTGGATATACAAATAGATAAAATGAAGATTCATGTTGCATGTATTTACAGGCCAGGAAACACAACCAGTGAGGAAGCCAACACTCAAATGATTGCTGCTATCAAAGAAAGCTATTCAAAAAAGAATCCAACATTTATTTTAGGAGATTTCAATTACCCAAATATAAACTGGGACAATTTAACAGTTTCCCCACCAGATAAAAAGACCCAAGACTTTATGGACATGTATCAAGAAACAAATGCACATCAAATTATAAATTTTTCTACAAGGTACAGAAACGATCAGAGCTCTTTATTGGATCTATTTCTATGCAACGATCGTAAAAGTATTTTTGACTTAAAGCCAGAGGCGCCAGTTGGACGCAGTGACCACATCATTATCACTGCTAAATATCAACTAAAAATTCCTCCCAAACCAACAAAAACCATACTAAGGAGAAACTTTTACACTCCAAACTATGATCAAATAAACAGTTTTATCACCCAGCAAACTGTATGGGAAGAAGATACCAAGTTTGGAAGTTTCAACAAAAATGTGATGGAGGCTATAGAGCAGTATATACCAGTTAAGTCGGTTAAAATAAATCACCAGAAACCATGGATAAATCAACATTTGTTTGGAGAAATAAATAGAAAACGCAAATTATGGGATAAATACAGAAGTAACAGAACAATTGAAAATTATCAAGTATATACTGCTCAAAATAACAGACTGAAACAAAAGCTTACTCAAGCCAGAACAAAATTTGAACATGGACTGGTTAAAGATAAATCACAAAAGAAGATCTTTAAATACATCAGCAAAAACTTAAATTCAAAAGTGACAACTATATCTCTGAAAGATTTAACTACGCTTGAAGTGCTAGACAACGAAACCACAGCCAAGACCTTTGCAGAACAATTTAACAAAGCCTTTTCACAGGAAACCTTTGCAATGCCACCACTCCCTGTTTGCACTAGAGCCCAAAACTCAATTGATACAATGCACTTTACCGAGGAAAAAGTGAGTGGCGCATTAAAGAGAATGAAAACAGACTCAAGCCCAGGACCAGACAACATACCAACGATCTTCCTAAAAAATTGCAGCAATTCATTAAGCTCACATCTGGCAGAAGTGATGAATGAATGTATGGAAACCGGTGCTATCCCTAAGGAGTGGAAACAATCAATAGTAACACCAATTTTTAAAAAAGGAGATAGGCACAAACCAGAAAATTATCGTCCAGTCAGCTTAACATGTAACCCACTGAAGTGCATGGAAAAAATCATTGTTGAGGAACTAACAGCCTTTTTCCAAACTAATGATCTTATTCCCACATCCCAACATGGTTTTCTTCCAAGGCGCTCCACAACCACAAATTTGCTAGAATGCCTAGACGATTGGACAGCAAACCACGATAAATCGCAGCCTACTGATGTGGTGTATCTTGACTATGAAAAGGCGTTTGACAAAGTCCCACATAACTTACTTATTGGCAAATTAGAGCACTTTGGAGTACGAGGACAGCTGCTAACGTTAATAACAGATTCACTTAATGAAAGACACTACAAAGTCAGAGCTAATGGAGTATTGTCCAACCGGCATCCAGTGAGCAGCGGAGTTGTCCAGGGCTCGGTCCTGGGACCTTTACTCTTTACTGTTTACCTCTTCGATTTGGTTGACATCATACAGTGTCCAATGAAAAACTTTGCAGACGATGGAAAACTGTACATTAATCCACTTATTGGTGCCCATTTACTTAAAACAGACCTAGAAAATATTGAAAGCTGGTCCAGAACATGGGGGATGAAGCTAAACGCATCAAAATGTACAGTGCTTCGAATTGGGCCAAACAATCCAAACACACAGTATACTCTTAATAACACGACCCTCACATCAGTGAAAGAACAGAATGATCTAGGAGTCATTGTAACATCTGATCTGAAATGGGAGACACATATAAAGAAAATAACGAAAAAAGCAAACTCTTTTGTATATCTCATAAAGCAAGCTTTTAGGGACCATTCAGTGGAAATGATAACGAAGCTGTACAAAAGTTACATAAGGCCAAAAGTTGAATATGCATTTACTGTGTGGAATCCCTATTATATAAAGGACATTGAACTCCTAGAAAGGGTTCAGAGAAGAGTTACAAAAATTCCTCTAGAACTTAGGTCCTTACCATATACAGAAAGGTTAGAAAGGCTCAATCTTACAACCCTTAGAGAGAGGAGACACAGGGGAGATCTAATAGAGACGTTTAAAATAACTAACGGCCACTATCAGTGCAATATTAAAAACCTTTTTCATCCAAGTCAAAATAACCAGCTTAGAGGCCATTCTAAAAAACTAGAGAAAGAAAAGACATCGAAAATGGTAAGAAGAAACTTCTTAGTGAATCGTGTTGTGTACTCCTGGAACGCTCTACAGGAAGAAACAATTTCCGTCGTTTCTATTAATGCATTTAAGAACAAAGTGGACTCTGAATTGAAACAGGACTTTAATAGGATGGTTCATTATGGTGTATAAACAGAAACAAACTCTCATATCAAAAGACACAATAGCTTCATCGGTTTCACCGCCTGCTATTGGTTAATTATAGAATTATAGAATTATAGAATTATAAACTCTGTAGAATGACCATATAATTTTTTTGTCTTATCATGCATTTAAATTTTGGTACATAGGTAGGTGCCCTGGTATGTACAGTCAGTCAATAAAGTAATGACCTGAATTAAAAATTTACCAGCCTCTAAAACAGAAACCTTCAAATATATATATTTTTTTTTCAAATAATCCACAGCTGATACACCAAACATAGAGCTAATGTCAATCAAAAAAATTACATAATTATTTTAAGCAGTTTTTTTTATAGGTAGATGTGAAGGTAGATGGATGGATTTTTAATTGGGAACATTACTTTATCGGCTGACTGTACATACACTGTAATTGTCCTCAAATTAAATAAAAACTTAATTTAGTTTAGGTCCAAATCCCCATGCCAACAAAAAAGTTGATACGTTTTACGATTTTACAACCTACCTATGGTCTAGACCGAGGTCTAGACAGATTTTACAGATAGGTACATAATATTAATATTCTGTGAACCTTGGTCTACTTTAGTTTTTATTGTTGTTTTCCAAAGACGCATATTTATTGGGTTTAGCTATAGGTACCTCTGAGGGTAGCCTATGAGCCTATGTCAGTCTACTAGCCGTAAAGCTAATCTCCCTCTCTGGGTACCTACCTTAAAATAACCTTAATTATGTTTTTAAATGTATTTACACCATTTTACACTTTAAATATCCTTATCCTTCATAAATAAAAAAAATCAAGTAGATACCTCAAGAATGCTAAAGTATTAGCACAAGGTTAAAATGTAATGAGTAAAGAAAAGTGTGAGTCACAGTTGTTTTAAAGGAAGGGTTTTTCATCATCATGTATTATTTGGTTACAACAATGTATTAATAGATATAATTGTAGATGTAGATAGTTCAGTTAGAAAATAGTATAAGTATCTAATCTATTGACTATTTGAATTGATTTGTTATTGATTTAAAATCAAAAAATCAACAAGAGGTCCTAGTATACAAATCAAGCTAGATTTGTGAGAGGGGCGTTGCTACAACAAATAACCGACTAGCGATTGCGATAGGTATATTTCGAAAATAAACTGTAAACAAGACAGGGTATATAGTAATTGAAAATATGCCACTTACTTGGGGACAGAAATTTAGCTTACCTCGGCTAGTCTCTCTGTAATTTCCTGCTGCTCTTCCTCAGTGAGCCTTTGTTTATCCATAGTGGAAGCCATCATTATATAAAAATCAACCACTCAAAAACTTTCCCGCACTGTTGTACTTAATGATAACAAACAATAGTGGTAATAGGCACGGAAAAATCAAAAACCGTCGCGAGGCTTTATAGTTTCAGGGTTTGAATGAAGCGAAGCACAAGGCAAGAGTGGCAAGACACGGGATCACCCCATTTGTCCTAATGTTCATTTGCTCTACCCACCCGAAGTCGCCTTCGGGCGGGAACGTCGGACGAGCCGAAGTCCGACCGGAGTATGACCCTCATCGAAACGAATGCAGTTGTTGTAGCGCAAATGGGTACAGCGATGCCGTTCCCTCTCCATCTGGCGGGTATTTAAAATAGAAAATAGAATTCTATTTCGATATTTTTCAAGTATTGAGTGGGTGTGGTGTTTTGTTTACTTTAAAAATGGAAAATTTTAACTTTTAATATTTTATTGGTTAAATATTAATTTATTTTAACCTTCCATCGCGAGTTTTATAACATCATTAGTCACGCTGTATCACAGAGATACATATACTAAATCATTGATAAAAAAATTGAACCATCTGATGAATTTCGGTTTTACAATTTCTATGTATTGATTCGGGTACTCAACAATCAAAGATAGAACATTTTCACTGAGAAAGAGATTCCAGAAGTTGAATTCTATTTTCGCTATCTTAATGTTTCGAGCGCGCTCGGACTGCTCGGAGTTTACCGAGTGTAAAGCCACTGTGTGCAGAAGCTAGTTTCTGGATAGGAATTAGCAAATAAGCTATCCAAGTGCTCCTAAATAGTCGAAGAAGAACAGTCATTCAGATTTTTTTCATTACCAGGAATCACCTTTTCTACATTTAAAATCGATGAAGAAACAAGCACAACCTGAATCGCAAGCATCCCATCGAGGCTTGCGGGTGACGTCACCACTATAAGAGGCTATGCTGCTAATAGTACTAACGTCACTCGCAGGCCTTGCCGACTCGAGAATTGGCGAACGTACGCCTTATAAGGAAAAGCAATCCTATAGTTTATGATTCTTGCTATGCAAGTGTTTCCAAATAGTCAAAGAAAATTTGATCAGTTAATCATTAAACTAAATAGAGATTTTTTCTCATTATTAGGAAATGGAAATTGTTGGCTTCACGTTTAACTAGTTGGTGGTTAAAAGCTAAATTTTTTCTGGATAGGACTTAGGTGCTCAAGTGCTCCTAAATAGTCAAAGAAAAACATGAATTAGTTATATTATTTGAATTATAGATTTTTTTTGTATTATTATAGGGAACTGAACTACTGGCCTTACGTTTACTTGGGGGTGTAAATATTTGCAGCGAAACTGATAACACTGATAACAGTGGCTATAATGTTGTAATAATTGGAATTAGGTGCTATCTTAGTGCTCCTGAATAGTCGAAGAAAAACTTGAACTATCTAAAACTTCAACTTTTTGGGAGCACTTAAATAGCACCAAATTCCAATACAACATTTTAGTCGCAGTTTTCAGATTCGCTGCAATGCAAATACATCCCCAAGTAAATGTAAAGCCAGCAATTCCTTAATGAAAAAAAAATTTGTACTTCAGTTTAATAATTAACTGATTCAAGTTTTTCTTCAAATATTGAGAAGCACTTAAATAGCACTAAATCCTATCCATAAACATTTTAGCTCTGACACACCACCAACTGAACGTGAAGCCAATAATTTGCCAATAATGAAAAAAAACTGTAATTCAGTTAATAATTAACAGATTCAAGTGTTTCTTTGACAATTTAGGAGCACTTAAATATATAGTAGGTACCTAAATTCAATCCAAAAACATTTCAGCCTTTAACGGTTTAACGGCCAATTTCATGATAGAGAATTAAAAGTTACTTTAGCTAAATAGACTTTTAGGATGGGATTTTTCTACTTCAAATGGACCTTTATATTTAAAGTTTACTTTAAGTTGATTATGAAATTGGCTGTAAGCCTCTAACACACCCCCAATAAGTAAACGTGAATCCAGGAATTTCCTAATATTGAAAAAAAATCTGTAATTCAGTTAATAATTAACTGATTCAATTTTTTCTTTGACCAGGTATTTAGGAGAACTTTAAAAAGCATATTATCTAAATTCTGATACCAAAGAAAAATTTAAAAAAATATTTTTCACTACAGGGGACTGCTATATTTCATATTAACCTAGCAATCCCTTCGTTTTTTTCCATATGGGACTGCTAGGTTTATTGACCTAATATTCTGGGAAATCAATAAATAATACAACCCCATATGATTTTAAATCTGGGGAGATACTTTGATAGGTATATGTATTATTGACTTTACATTTATAAATAATTTTACACGTCTGTATAAACTCTACAAGGACTCTACGCTTTAATAAATAAGTATATTATATATTTCTAAAATCTTAACTCTACTGTAGACTGTAGTTAATAAAAATAAAGTCCACAATCATTCACTAAATACAAATACATTTTTTAATTTATTTTTATTATTATCAGCTGATTACACCAGATGTTCCGCGCGCCCGCCGCGTACACAAAACCTTCATAAGCTTCAACTACTCTTGCTACTCCTCCGCGATCATGTTAACTGATCCCGATCATAGCCGATCGCGTTCGTGAGTAGACCATTTGCGGATTAGCACAAATGCACAGTAGCACAAATGGAGCCATCTCCAAGACACCACGTTAGCGTTAGACGTTTCGTATTCGTTCGAAATCAATCGAATCCTATTTGCTTGCTTGCTTTGGTTTTGTCGAATGCAGTTGCCGTCTCCGTCAATTACCACTCCTACCAAGTATCTGCTGCACGACTGCCGTTGCGTTGGCGTTGCACGGTTAGGTTGGGTTGGGTTTGGTTTGGGCAGTGTTGCCAATACTAACGGGTCGGGTCTTCAAAAAAAACAAACGAGCCTTGATTACAGGTCTGTTCCAACACCACATCAAAAACGATCAAAAACCGTCCCATGAACGTTTTTGATTTTCGAAGCCACTCTGGCTGGGTTCGGTAATTGCATATGCGAGCAAAAAGACCAAATTTTGACGGACGTCACGTGATCGCTAATCTTTTTCACGTGTCAAATCACGTGACATTTGTCGAATTTACTCATTTTGCTCGCAGATGCAATTACCGAACCCAGCCTCTGTATACGAATTTTGGATTCTACGCACAAATTTTAGGTTTTGCGCAGAATTGTGACGGTAATTTGTACGATTTTCGGATTTTCTGTCGCGTCCATTTCCAATAAATGTCAAATAGATGTCTAGGCGCGTTCACCAGAGGTGTTTTCCAGTGACCCATTTGAGTTACTCCTGAGCAGCTGAAAGTGCTCCACAATTGCCACAGCAGCCCCTCGTGCACCAACCTTTATTTCGGTGTTCCATGCTCCTGAAGTCCAAAATGGTGGGGGTTAAGACGAGAGCGTTCCAGTGCTGCTTTGATATTTTTATGCGTGTATCAAACGTCAAATTGTCGAAGTAATGCCAAAAAAATGCGAATTTCCCAGTTATGAGTACTAGGCTTAACAATTTAGGCACTGGAAAGCAGCTCAGATACAAATGCTAGTGAAACGGTTTACTACGTTGAATTTGTGTTGAAACCAAACATGGTCTGCAAACGGTCGCCAATTTTGCAAGCATAAATTAGGAGTGTTTATAAATTTCAGCACTTTGTGTTTTGTGTGGTGACATCAATAGTTGTATTCCTTTCACACCTATGAGGAGTTCCGGAACAGCTCCGGGACTTCACCCGCTTATTCCTTTCGAACGAAAAGTGTTTGTTGCACCACGCATCTGTTCCCTGCAAATCGGGGGCGACTAAACACCGAAGCGAGTAGCTCGAGTGCTTCAAACTCTTGAAAAGAATACAACTTATGTGGGAGCAGGGTTGCCAGACGTCCCACCTAAAGCCTAGTACTCATAACTGCGAAATTCGCATTTTTTTGACATTGCGTTGACAATTTGACGTTTTATGCATGTATCAAACGTCAAATTGTCGAAGCAATGTCAAAAAAATGCGAATTTCGCAGTTATGAGTACTAGGCTTTAGGAGGGACAGTCCCGCATTTTGTTAATCAGTCCCGCCTTTTTTTTTATTAATTTCAGGTCCCGCTTTTCACGTGAATTGTCCCGATTTTCCCGCTTTTTCCACCCAATCTTCACATTTAGTGCAAAAAACACGCTCATTTTACAACTTGTTACATAAATAGCAATTTCTTCATTTAAAATTAACGCAAAAATCTAATAACGAGCCTGAATCGCAAGCATTTCATCGAGGTTTGCGGGTGACGTCACCACTATTAGCTGCAGACGTGGTGACGTCACTCGCAGACCTTGTAGACTCGAGAACCGGCGAACGTACGTCTTCTCAAGATGAGCAATCCTGTTAGTTTACGATTCTTGGGTTTTAATGAACAATATTAAAAACATACATATTCCAGATATAACACTCAAAAATAATAATATCAAACGAATATTTGTATGTTGTAGGTATAAAAATGTCAAAAATTCCAACAAAATCCAAATCTTTCATTGCACAAACTAGCATCTGCAAAAAACTTTTTTTCTGGCCATTGAAAAATAAACTTTCGTGATATTTCACCTTAGCCGAAAACGTCACTTTCGTCACTAGTGATAAAATATCTAGTGACGAAAGTGAATGATTAAGGATTTTACGTGTTAAACTAGCTATTTATACAATAAGTTGCGAAATGAGCGTCTTTTAGGCACGCGACGTGGAAATTGTCCAACGAGGCAAAGCCGAGTTGGACAACACGTCGAGTGACTAAAAGACTTCGTTTCGTATCGTATTGTATACAAGATTTTTTCTACTTGCGTTTCATAATAAAAAAACACAATTTTATTTCAATGTTTGTCACCTGCTTTTGCTTGACACCTTTCATGGTGGTGACTAATATTCATAATAAATACAAAACAAAATTCAAATTTGTGTTTAGTGTGTTTTTTATTTCTGAACAATGAATGACACTTTTAGGCACTAGTGCTTAAAAGTTACTTTTACGCACTTGAAAGTCACTTTTACGCACTGAGTGCTTAAAAGAATGTCGTTTCAAAACTAAAAGGACAATCGAAAAGTTGCTATTATGAAACGTCAGTAGAAAAACATTCTTTCAAATCCAATTAATTATAACATACAATGATATAATGTAATAAAAGCAAAATAATAGTAATAAAATTAATTAAAAACGAACTTTTTATAGATGGCGTCTTGATTCATCTACGTTTTCAAGCGCCATCTATTAAAC